CTGGAAGGGGGGCAGGCGGCAGATGGGAAGGGGTTGCACTGCCTGGGCAGCCGTGCAGGCAGTCAGCCCCAGAGAGCCGGGCTTAGCTCCCCCGCCACGTCTCCTCTTCTCTCTAACCTCATCCTTCCATGTTTCATTGCAGGGCCATTATCATCCGTAACGGGGAAATCATTCCAATGTCCAGGGAGTTTACTCCAGAGACAGAGAGGCAGAGGCTGCAGTTTTTAGTAAGAAAGACTTTTCTTCTAACCTCGTTCTTGCTGAACCTCCTCCCGACCCCTGCGCTGCCTGCTGGGCTGCTGCCTTGGGGGGTCCCGGGGGGGCCGAGGGCAGCCCCACAGCTGGGACCTGCAGGTGGCACTGGTCCATCCCAGCCAGCTCGCTGGGTTGGGGAGAGGTGCCGGGACGCGGGGAGCTGCCCTGGCTCGCTGGCCCGTGGGGTCATCTCGTGGCTGGGGGAGCCCCGGTTTGCTGCGGGGTCAGCGTGAAGGGCCGTGCCTGCGAGCCTGGCCTGGCCAGGACCTGGGGATCCCGCGCTCTCGGCGTGGGGCCGGTTTGGTTCGGTTGCACGGAGCCAGTTTGGTCCATCTTGTCCCGCTCCTGCCTGGGGAACGGGGATCATCGCCCGCTGCTGCTGCGGGAGCGCCGGGCTGGCTGGCACAGAGACCAGCAGGAGCTCAGCTCTGCTCCCTGGCACGGTCGAAGGAGCCACAGCGCTCGCGCCGAGTCCTAGTTTTCTTCCCCAGCTGCTCCCTGGGCAGTCAGGGAGCTGACATGCGCTGACGGGTTTCTAGCTTTCTTCCCAAAAGCTCCTTCTCCTGCCTGGCCTGGACAAACCCCCCTGTGCCACACAGGGAGACTTTTTAAGGTTATAAAGACCTCTCTGATGGCAGTGCAGAGGAGGAGGCGTTTGTGTTGGAGGAGGTCTTGCTGGATGCAAGTTCCTGGCTTGCAATGTACTTGGAAAAACACTGAGGCATTTTTTCTTGAATCTATTTTTGAATGACCGAGAGGAGGAAACTGCTGTGAGCGGGATCCTCTCCAGCCGGCTGCGATGGGCAGGGCGCAGGCAGGGGGCCAGGCGCACGCTTGCTGTGCTGCACAGCGCCCAGGCCGGGGTCAGGGCCCCCCCCCGGAGTGGGACAGGGCTCTCCATGCCTCTGCACCAAACCCTCCCCTCTTCCCAAGGGCTCTCCTCCTTTCTTTCAGCTCTTTCTTCCTCCATCTGCATTTTCCAGCGCTGCCCCTATTCTTGGTCCCCTGCACACTGTGCTCCAGGGGCTCTGTCCTGCTTCTCGTCCCTTGTCGCAGCCGGGACACGGTTTCTGAACAGACCCATCGGCTCTTTTCCTCGGACGAGTGCCCTGCCCTGTGCTGAGCCCAAGGTCCCGGGAGGTTTGCGGCTCTGACTCCTCCTGGGAAAATTCCAGCTTCTCCTGGAATTTGCTGGGTTTTGATCCTTTTTGGAGATCCTTATTTCCCAAAACTCTCCGTGTAAAAGCTTCACCTTCTTCCTGGGTGTTGGCATGGCTCTTGTCTCCCCTCTGGGTGTAGCCTGGACGGGTGGTTTGAAGCTGCTTTACCCCCGCCTGTCTGAGTTGCAGCAGAGCAGCTGAGGTTGTCCCCACCGCAAAATGCCGTAGCTGGGGTGCTGTCAGGCTGGCGGGTCCCATGCTGCCGTGCCCGGTGAGGTG